CACAGTATCAAGAAGTAATATTGAAGGGCACAGGCCTCCTGGAAGAAGCAAAAAGAGCAGTCACAGAGGTAGAAGCTTTGGTATTGCCTCAAGGTCTCCCTAACAGAACTGGGTGGAGTCCTGATTTTCAACTGAGATTTGGCTCTCAAGTCTGTTTGCCTGGTCTTTCGACAGAATATACCTAAAGCAGAAAATGGTAAAACACACATATAAATAATCTGCTCCATATTCTGCACATTTCACAGGCCAAGAAAGCTATTCTCAGACAACTCTGGCTTCCAATAATTTACCAAGTAACCAAAAAAGAGTACAACATTCTCCTTGGCAGTCCCACAATTACCTTTCTGTGGCCTTAATTGCCGCTATGGCTTCTACAAGGCACATTCCTGGGACCACAGAAAAAGTTCAAGTGTGAGGCTTTCAATATCACTCATCAGCCAGTATTCACCGGAGATATAGGACTTAGGTGGCCCATTAACTCTAGATGTTAACAAACATTTCTCTCAATGTTAACAAAAATTGCAAAAATAATAAATTATCTCCAAGGTGAACATAACCACCCAAACTAGGTGGAAATAATGAAGTATCACGTCTGTTTTGCAAACAGATACTCAAAACTGACTGGATCCCAGGAAGAAATTTCTGGCAGACTGCTCCCCAGTAATTAAACAAATCTCAACTCTCCATAATTAGCCCACGCTTCCATGGTCTTACCAGGGCTGTTACATTCTTGTTTTCCTTTCTCCTGACTATATCAAGCTGGGACCCAGCTGCAAGCAGGGATGTCAGTGCCGTGTAGAGCTCATCATACTTAACAAGCTTGGAGAAAAGAACATCACATGCCTAATATCAAAAAAGAAAGATAATCATTTTTTTTATTTTTTCCGACTATCTATACACTACCACTTCACCTCAGGATTGACAAAACAGCTTCTTCCCATTATAGTTGTTAATTTCTCATTGCAGCAAGATTCCTACCCACTCAGGGACCTCACTTAGTTTACAGGTTCTTGTAAGCAGACAAATGCAGGCTTTAGAATGAGACAACTATTTGGTCCATTAAAATAGTTGCATGAGATACAAACAAGAAAAGTTGTAAGCGAAAATGCTAACAGACATGGTCTTCAAGAATATGTGTCAGACGTGTCAACTACCAGGAGGGATGTCCCCTACAGCCAAAGTGGAGCCCAGCAAATCTATCTCAAAATAATATTTTCCTGGAGGGAGGGTACAGCTCAGTGGCAGAGTGTGTGCTTAGCATGCATGAGGTCCTGGGCTCAATCCCCAGTACTTCTACTAAAAAAAAAATTTTTAATTCCTTTCAGAATAAGCTCAAATACTAATAAAGACCAAATTCCCTCATTACAAAAAGTAAGTCATTCCCTTTCCCTGTTTGCCCCTGACAGACGTAAAATGGGAATTCTAAATTCCTGGTACCACAGAATCGAGTCGGTTCAAATCATCCTCTGAGGCTTCTGGGGACAGGACACAGTAGAATCTGGGTTGTGGGACAGCATCTGAAAAACAATGTGCTTATTAAAAGAATGGTTTCATTCTCAACTCTGTTTAACAAGTATTAAATGTAAGGACTAAGAAAGCACACCGGACCAGGGGTTCCCACCTTGGCACTATACACTGACACTTGGGGCCGGATAATGCTCTGCTGCGGGAAGCTGTCCTATGTAGCACAGGATGTGTAGCACTGCCCTGACTTCAGTCCAACCACTGCCAGTGGTACCCTCCAAGTTGTGACAACCAAGTATGTCTCCAGACATGATGCCACGTCCCCTCTGGGGGTGAAGGCCACAATCATCCCCAGTTGAAAACTTCTGCTCTATGAGATAACTAAGGTGCTCTACAATCATCAAGTTAACCAACAAAATTGTATCACTAGACTGCCTTAAACTTAAACTCTGTTTCCCCTATACCAAAGGGAGTAACCACAAAGAAATTCCAAAGATAATAAATTTGTACTAGGGCTTGATGAAAATTTCCACCAGACACTTTACATCTAATAATCCTCGGGATGAAAGCAAACACACACTGAAATAAACACAAGAAGCACTTTGTCAAAAGTATGAACAACTGCTGTGTGACAAACGCTAGAGAGAACGTCATGGCTCCCACTGTTTTCTCAAGAGTACATCACTGTGACCCAAAGAAATGAGCCCGTGGGTTAGAACCGTGTGCCTAGGGAAAATTAAATTCAATCACTCGGAGTGGCAGGAACACACACACTGTTCTCTATGGCCAGAAACTAGGATTCCTAATTCTCGTGTCTCAATGCTTTCTATTTTTAAATTAATGTGGGATATGGGAAGCTCTGTTTCCACAAGTGTTTTGAGTCCATAAGTATCTGCCATCCACAAGGAGGAGACTAAACCGGTGACCAAAGACCCCTGAGGAGGCCCTAAGCTCCAAGTTCAACCTCTCCAATGAGAATCAGTAAGTCAGTTTTTTACTGACAATCGTCTTTCTGACCTGATGAAAAATGCTTAGACCAGTTCTCTTCCACTTCTTTGAACCCATGATAAAGAGGCGTGGTCACCCGGCGGCTGCCGCTGTCCTGAGATCCACTTGCCCACCCAAAAGGAGGACTAAGCAAGTTATGCTGCACCTTTTAAAACACAAATACTCAAATTAAGAAAGATACACAGTTATCATTCTGCTTCTCACTACAAGCATGATATTAGATTGGGATATCAAAGTTTGGGAACCTTACAAACCAAAATAAAATTTTAGATTTTTCTGTGACCTTTTGGGAAGCACCTTTTTGCTAGAACATAAAGGGTACAGTGCTCAATGAAACGTTGTAAGAAACACTGAGTGTAATAATCTTTAAATGGCTCTCCCATCCTTATTTCGGATTCCTGCCACAAAGGAATTTACTAATCCATAAAATTTACTGCTCGACCATCATTCAGCCACTAGCAAATACTAACTGAGGCCCAACACTCAGGGCACTGTGCTAGACACAGGTAAAACGGGGTAGTTCAAAGGACACCTGTGAACAGAGTCTGTGATCCAATTTTAACAAACGCATCAAATCAAGTAATGTACATTTATTGCTTCTGGCTAAGCATTAAGTGTGGGTGCACAGACACTCTAAGTCCCAGTGGTCTTCCTAAGGCTACTCAAACGTGCCACAGTGAACACCTAAAACCTAAAGTGAGCAGGTCATTTTAGTTTGGATCATGGAAACCTAGTAACAATAATGCTCTCAATAACAACTTTTGCAAAAAAGAATGTGTTGGTCTGTACCTGCTCAAACAGATACACAGGGGCTTTTGAGTACTGATGGAGCAGATAATCAAAGATCAAAAGGAGGCGAGCCAGGATGAGAGGCACAGAGCGCATCTGGGCATCCATGTTGGCGCTTAATTCCTGGATGATCTGCACAAAAAGGGTCAATATGTCCCGCCGGCCTTTCTCACTGAAGTTGTGGAAAATGAGAAGAAGCAGCTGCAGGTGTTCTATATTCAAATCTTCTGTCTCATTGGGCACCACCCCTTGCAGGGCATTCTGCTTCATTGTCGACAAAAACCTACCAGAGAAAAAGTGGGGAAAAGTCAGAACATCCCCCAAGAATTAGAAGGTCCAGTGCTGGAAGAATTAAACTTCTCAGAACCAGACATTAAGATAACAAATCAAGGAAGACAAGAAGCCACATATATCAAGAAGATAAAAATTCAACCTTGGCTACAAAGAGCCAGATGCAGCCTTAAGAACATTTCTAAGAAGCCTTCAGCAATGCTGACTGCGGCCATAGCAGCATTAACCCCACCCTGCCATTCCTGACAGTGAAAAGAGCTGCAGGCTCCCCAACAGGCGGCTTTTTAGAATTAAATCTGGGCAGGCAGAAACAGTTTAATTACTTTTGCCCCACAACTTGATTCTACAGTTTAATTCTCGTTTTGAGAGTTTATACTACAGGTTAAAATCACTGCATGATAATAGTTGAAAATATCTCAATGCAATAAAAAGCAACAAAAAAGAAATTATACTATTCAGAGAACTTGTGAGAAAAGCTTTCATGTAAGAAAGGAATGGATGTAGCCAACTATTTCCACTGCCCTTGGCTATTAGGAAAGAGATTTGTGTTTTAATAAGGGTTTCACACACCACCTCCCCTCCCACCTCCCAGCCTTTTTGCAAGATTCTACCAGGAAAAAACAGAGTGAGTCTTTCGCATTCAAGGGGGTTTATAGTATCTCAAATCCAGCATTAGAGCTATTTGATCATGGAATGAGGAAGAGAAAAACAAAGCCTTTTAGGAAAACAAACTGCTTTGAAGAGTCCTAACCATGTAAACAAAAATGGCAAATATAGGTCCATCTAAACAGGATTTAGATGATTAATCTGAGCTTCCCCCAAGTAAAAAAATTCTTTAAAAGTTGTCCAAAAAAGACTGCAAGTCACTCTAAGTGGTTTCATGTTGAAAGCAAAATAATGAAGGAGAGAGTTGGCTTTCCTATTCCCTCTTTCAGGAAAAAAAAAAAAACAGGTCAGGATAAAATTGGTTACATTCAGGATTCAGGTTCTGTCTCATAATTGCAACCAAATCCCCCATGTGCTAAAGAAAGATTCTGTTTCCTGACCATAGTTGATGTACTTCTGTTTTTCTGAACAGCACAACTCCCCCGCAAATCCCATCAGAAACACACTCCTCCACCCTTGCCACTTTAAACACTATCATCAGAGCACCATCTCAGAGCCACAGATTAACTACAAATAAGTCAAACAATTTTTAAGAAGTAAATACCTTCTCCACAGGGCTTCCACTGAAGTTATCTTACCTGTCCCAAACTTTAAGGCATTCAGGGACGTCCGGGTCACCTTGAGCACCGGCTTTGTGTTGCCAGATGAGCAAGAGGCGTGAAAGTACAGAGAGGCTTTGAGGGTGAATGTACAGGGGCCAAGGGCCCTCAGAAAAAGGAGCAACTCCCAGCTGCTGCAACAGTGTGTTCTGACATGAAAGATAACACAAGAGAGCATTAGGGAAAAAGGCAAGGAATGAGGCCAAAAAGTTACCAGTGCTCTCCACTACTTTTTAACACCCAGAGGAGTACTTCAAAGAAAGGAAGAGACAGAAATTCCGATTTAGAAGCAGTCTGGAAAAAGATCATTTCATTCAACACATGAGAAAAACATAAAGGAAAAATTACTAATCTATCCCCATAAACAGCTACAGCTAATCAGTGTCAGAAATGGGGTCCCAAAAAAAGGAGACGTGCATGGAGACAGCAGAATCGGGACCAATTTCCAAACAGATACTGTGCCTTTCAAAAGAAACTTCTTCACTAACTGTAAGAGCTAACAATTTTTCTTTCACAATCAGTTACATCCCACAAATAACAATCCAAAGGGGAAGATCCAACAACTTACAGGTCTAACAACTTGTATTGATAGTATTAACAGAGAATTGTGCCTCTAAGATGTCAAGGCATCTAGAATTAATCAGGGTTGTCTCTGCCTCCAGTTGTGGCCTGTCCTTCAAAGGAGCTTTCCTTTCAGCCCCGTTATCTAAGCTGCAACTTATCTTCTCAAACACACACACACACTGAGCAGGATGCCAGTGGAAAACCAGACAAAAGCCAGCTTCCTCATTTGGCTTCAGAAAACACAAATCACAGTTACCTCAGGACATAGGATAAATTCTGAAGTCTGCCAAATTAAATTATATTCTTATAAAACAGCCCAGAGGACCCTATTCCTTGAAAATATTCAAAATGTCACAGATATCAAGGAGAACTCCATGTGCTGGGGAGTTACCATAGGCTAAGTGCTGTACATTCACTGTCACACTAAACCTCAGAGCTGTCACGTCACATGGGGTGTGGTCCATTTCACTGAGGAGGGAAACAGCTCAGAGTGGTTTAAGAACAGGACCAAAGCCACAAGATTACCAAGTGAGAAAGCCAGGTTTCTCTCTAAAACCTACATTCTTAACTACTATGTTCAACACAGCTGACCTCCCAATCCCTAAACCCAAGGAAACAATTAAAAAAAAAAAAAAAAGCCTGAGCTGTATCAGAAGTATTAACTGTAGCACTATCGTAATAATAAAAAAAATCAGAAAAAATCAAATCAAAGGACATGCAGCCATAATGCTGGCAACTATGAACAGCAAGGTAAACATAAAAACATATTCTATATATACTATATACATACACACAATAGTAAAATCTGAAAAAGCAGAAAAAGGATGTATCAGTGTTCTGGTGATAACCATAAAACTATGCCACTACATGGACAGGGACTATAAGGAAACATGGAAAAATTAAAATCATGAATTTGGTGGAAAGATGATACTTAATGTATATTCCTTATCATGTTATTTATACAACACTTTTTAAGTGAGCTTTTGCTTTGTGTCAGTTTTATGTGCCTCAGTTTTTTAGGCCTCAGAGCCATAAGAACGAGCTAACATTCCTCAGGAACCTAGTTATGGCTACCACTCAGACTTTTACTAGCTCTAAGAAGAACTGACTTTCTAAGTAGTAAAACTGAGCCACAGCACAGCAAAATCCTGGCCTGACCCACTCCTCGCCAACCTCCGAGTACCTTTTCTCCACTCCTCCTTCACGCTGGCATTCCTGAGGTTTCAGCCTCAGCCTTCATCTCTCTCACTATTCCTGATCCATCTAATTGTTTCTCATCACTTCAACAATTGCTTCTTAATGGAGGACGCCCAAAGCATATTATCAATCTTAATTTTTAACTCCTGAATTTCAGGCTCCCATTTCCAACTATTTTCTAAACATTTTCATCCGACTAGAACCTCAAAACTTCCTATTTAAAATGGTTTCTTTCAGTAGTAGTAATGGTGACTATTTATTTAAACTAAAAACACTGGTAACATACAAATTGTTTTCCTCATTTGATTGAAAGGGCTATAAAATTCAACAGTCTGACAAAGGAAACAACAATCACATAGATGATGCCTCTGCTGATCGCCTTCAGCTCACTCCTTCCTTCAAGGAGAGCCTCACACTCGGCTATACAGTTTTCCAGATCACACAGTGACCCCAAGGCTGGCCTACTAAAGGGACTGAAAGTCATCACACTGACTTGTTTGTTTTTAAAAACAGAGAAAAATGGCAAATTGTGCCTCAGGTACCCAAAGAACCCAAAGGATCATTCTGAGTAAATGTGAAATAGGTGACCCATGAGTAAACACCACCTCTGAAGTGACTTCAGGGTAGAAGAATGAGCCACGGAGTACTCAGTATCAGTCCTTCTACCTGCAACCCAGCTCTCCTCCCTGACTTCCCCGTTTCTATTAAAGACAACAGGAGCCTTCTAGTTTCATTTGAGTTTTAAGGATTTTAAATCTAGGCAGTAACTTAGATTCCGTCCTCTCCTTGACCTTCACCCCATTCAAATAATTTCCCATGATCTGTACAATAGGTCCTTTACCCATACCACGTCTCCTCTCTTTCTCATAATCCCTCACTAACTTAAGTCATCTTTATTTCTTCAGTCCCTATAACAGTACCTGGCACATAGTAAGTACCAATGAATACTTATGAATGAACCTAGATCACCAGAGTAATAGTATTATTAAGTTATTATAGTTTTATATGCAATGTTAAATACACAATGTTAAATAATAATTGTTAAAAAACAGATTTTATTAACCTCCCTTAGAAGACACTGTAAGTCAGGCACCTTGGGTAACGCAGCTCTGTATATTACTCCAAAGAAACAATACCCAAGGTAGGGGAACTCGATAGCAGAGAGGTTACACAGACCATCCTTTTACTTTCTGCCACCATAGCAGTGAAACATGGGGGAAGAATTTAAAATTCCAAGTTTGGAAACAGAATGAAAAAAGAGATTTGAGGATATCTTCTGAATAAAATCAGTAGGTACGGACAGCCAGGTTGCATGTCCACACAAGGTCTGTAACTATGTTGAAAACGCTAAGAGGGCAACATCATTACAGGACTCTTAAGAATCCTATTCTCCAGAGGAAAATATTCTTCCCCATCACTTGGACAAGCTTAGACAAGAAAGGGCCAAATCTATGAACTTTGGAACTTCCCTCGATAAACTCAGATCTGGGCAAGGAGCTGATGACTGTGGCAGGACACTGTGAGCCTGTAGTCTGAGAAGGTGCTGCAAGCAGTATACTTACTGAAGCACTTCCTTCTCTTCACCTTAGACTGGTTAACAACTTTCTACTTTAGGTAAGTATAATAAATTTTATAATTATCTTTTAAACAACAAATAAATGCTTAAGAATTTCTCAAATAGCATGGGGTTATGTGAATCAATTTTAACCTCTTAAAATAGTTTGCTGAATTTTTGTCCCTTTGGGGGCAAGTGTAAGCTCTTAAACTGTGTTTTGATTCTGAGCATCCACTGAAACAATCTTAAGAGTGACAAGAAAATTTTCAAAATACTCTTAGGGCAAATTATTGGAGAGCTACCAAATTAAATTCTACTGAGGGCTGGGGCAGGGGGTGGTCACAGTAACTAGAAATCTTCATTTTTAACAAATTCCCCAGGAATCTTTATGTACGCAGAAGATGAGAACCACTAATTCTGATCATGTTAAAAAAGTTATTATCAAAATATGACACTGCTAAATGTTGGGAGAGAACGTGGATCCACATATCCCTGACACACTACTGGTGGGAGTAAAACCTGGTGCAACTACTCTGGAGAGCAGTTTGGCATTATCTGCTTAAGGTCACATACTCTAAAGCCTGTCAATTCTACGCCTACATATATATTCCCAAGAGACTCACTTGTAACAGGGGACATGTATAAGAAAGATCACAGCAACACCTGGAGTAGCAATAAAACTTGACACCCAAATGACCATCACTGGGAGAAGGCAGACGAATAAACTGACATAGAGTCACAAACACAACAGGATATCACACAGAAGTTGAAACAGAAACTACAGAAATATGTAACAATGTAGATGGATTATGGCAAAAAAAGTACTAAATAATATTAAGTGAAAAAAAAGCTGAAAAAGTTGCATAGAGCATGAAGTCATTGCTAAAAAGAAATAAATAATTTTAAAATTTTAAGTATTCCTTAAATGCAAAAACAAATATATACATGAAACTAATGAAATGAGGAATTTAAGATTTAGGATTCAAAGTATCAGCTACTTCAGTGAGGAAGAAAGCCACAACGTTTAGAAGTCCACAATCAAGATCGTAGACTTTATTTTGGTGGTGGGTTAGCAAGTAAGGGTGTATGTGAGAGCACCTCTCTCCTGTAATTTGACTGATTCTTTTAAACCACGCATTTTAATTTATATTTCTTAGATTACTGACGCTGAACATTTCCTATGTTTGTTGGCCATTTATATATATATATTTTTTTAATAAAATGCCTTCTTATCTATTTACTTTTCTACTAGGATAGTCGTCTGTGGTTGTTCTTGTAGTTTTTCCTTTTCTTTAAAGCTTACTAGGCGACTCGGGGATAAAGGACACATTTTCTTTTCCTTGAAATGGTGCTAAGTAAGGCAGAGGGACATATAAGAAAATCTCTCAACACTCTTGCCAGTGAGGGGATTCCATGACACACTGTTCCTCAGCAGCAGAAACGACTGCAACCTACTGAGTGCAGACGGAGAGAGCTCCTGGCCGAAGCAGTCACAGTGCACACAAACCTGCAGGTTAGGGGACTGAAGGTCAGAAGTCACCAGAGAGTGGTTGAAGTGATAGAGAGCAGCAGCAAACTCTTCATCTGATGAACCTTGAAGACAAGTGGGAGAACCAATTATTGAGCATCTACTTGACACATCGCACCACCCTACAACAGCCAAACTCCACCAGGAAAAATCCACCAGGCGGGTATCCTGTCTACTGACCCTTCAGTCCATCTTTGTCCACCTCCTTAATGATACTGGCCAGGGTGGCCATATGGTGCTCTGAAAGAGATACACTCAGATAGTTTCGGATAAAATTGTTTCGAGAGTTCAGCATGGAAGAGGTGATGAAGTTCAAAATGTTGGAAGCCAGACCTAAGAACTAAACAGAAGACAAAAAAGCTCGTATCAGGGTCACAAGCCCAGAGCTCCCACAAATCCTAAATACAAATAGAAAAGCAAAAAACACCCACAGGTCTCATGCAATAAACACAATGAATTAAAGAATTAGATTTTAAATCAGCTACAGTGGAACTAAGTTTAATTATGATAGTCTCTCCTATGTGATTCTACCAGTTATAGAAGATGGCATGCTATTTAATAATACAACAGACTTCAAGAAATACTGGACAAACTTCCAAATAGAAAGTCTTCCAAAGGACTTCCAAATAGACGGACTCATTTCTTTCACTCCTCTAAGGTCCTGTGTTTGTCTAGCTCTCAGATATTACTGATATATTCAATTCTGAAGCCAAATTATCATTACAACATTTGGAATTTCCAGGTCTTTACTTCTCTATTAAAATTAAATTATTGTGTGAATGTTTTATATCCATGTACGTGACTAGACTAAGCTGTATGAGAGCAAAGACTCTACCTGGCTTGCTTACTGATACAGCTCCTGAAGAGCCGCTGACACATAGCACGTCAATAAATGCTGGCTAAATGAAGAGTCCGCTATCATTTATGACGTACCAGACCTAAGCTAAGGGCTCTTCACTTCTCCACAACACTCTCAGAGGAGGTATAATCACTTCCATCCAACAGGAGACAAAACTGAGGCTTGGAGAAATTCAGATTCTTGCCCAAAGCCATAAAGCCAGTAAGTCACAGAAGGAGGACTCAAACTCACTTTCATCCAACTCCAAAGGCTATGTTACTAACCCTCAATCAGAAAAAACACCACCAAGAGTACAAGAGGTATTTTATCAAACATAATCAATACACTTAAGTCCTAAGTAAAAATACCTTTAAACATTAGTTATCCAATATACAAAATGTTTTTGTTCAAATGATCTGCTTTTCACATCCCTCCTCCCCATTCCTTAACATCCGAAATCCACTTCTTACCAACTCAGGATCTTTGCGACTAGCCAGAATGTTGCCCTTCTCACCGGGGGCCTGCTTACTCGGGCTCTTAACTCGAGGTGAGCTTTCCAGCGGAGGGGGTGGGGGAGGAGGCGGAGGTGCCACTTTCTCTTTACTGGGGGAGATGGTCTCTTCAAACCATTGCCCCAGAATAGGCTCACTGTCATCATCTGAACAGGGAAAGAGGAAAGTAACAAAAATTACACGTTTAAAAATTTTTTTTAGTACATCTGCTTTGTAAAGTATCCGAGTCAAAAGGAACATCAGGTATCTAGATTATACTAGTAGTTACATGGTTGCATAAACCTGTCAAATGCATATAAATGTATATGTAAAACGGATGTATTTCATTGTATGTAAATTATACTTCAATAAAACTGGTATTTTTTTTAAAAAAGAGCCCAATGAAGGAAGAGAAACCACTGCACAGTATTTTACTGGCAACAAGCCAAACATTTTCAAGAGTAAATTTTTACCTGCCTACCAATTATAAGCCCCAAGGTAAGAACTGTACCTTTTGCAATATCAGACCTTGCTCCCACATACCTGATTATAAAGAATCTGAGATACTTATCTTATTCAATCTCTCAATCTCTCTCCAAATCAAGGCAGGAAGGAATGTTAGTGTCACCACAACAGAACCTGGTGTTTCCTTCTCTACACTTCCCCAAGCCACAAATCTAAGACAACAGCTAAACCTTCGCTGAGAAGTCAGAGCAGCGTTCTCAAAATGGGTCAGCACAAAAAGAAATAGCAACAACTGAGATGTATTTTGATTTGGGAGGGAAAGAAATGAAAAGCAATCTGGGCTTTGCTTCTGGGCAATCTTCAACAGCTCCATTTTCTCTTGACAAACCTGTCACCTTTAAGTGCACATAAAGTCACGATGCATGCTGGGCAGGCAAAAGAACACGGAGACTAGAAAGCTAAAGGAATCTCCTGGGAAACGTCCTGCTACACGCTGCAGCTTGCCCTCTGGGAGAGAGAGGAGAGGCGTCTACCTTGGCTGCTGTCCTCCTCCGTGCTGCTGAAATCATCCTCGTAGTAGGTGTTTGAGTCAGTAGAGGCGCTGGCATCGCTGCTCATGGAACCCTTCCTCTGACGCTGCAGGACACACGCCTGGGAAAACAGCAAGGTTTCTGTAACTGATGATCACAAGAATGGAGCCATCCCATTTACCACATAAAAAGTTTTCTCTGTGTCCTCTTCTTTTTTCTAAATCCAAGAAGTACCTCTCCTAACAGCTCCCTTCAGGACTCTCATAGTTTTATCTTACAAAAGCACTCCAAAACCAGCGTTATGGACAAGAACTGAAAAAGGAATGCTTCCAGTGTCCTCTATGTTTCTGCCGCAGCATGCCAACTGTCACAAATCACCAAGTAGCTGCATGTATCACAATGCTGATAATGAACAACTAATTCAAATGTCTGGAATCATTTCAGAGCTTTTCTCGTCTTCAAATCCTTGACCACAAATATTGAGTTTATAAAGACCACAGTGAACAGTCAGTCTTACTCATTTTGAGAAAGTTATATAAGATCTCCCACATGTATTTACCTATATACACATATATATTTAACTGAACCACTTTGTTGTACACCTGAAACTAGACTTCAATTTTGAAAAAAAGAAAAAAGATCTTCCAAATTATCAATGGCATGACCCCACCCACCTTTCTGTAGGAAGTTGAGAGTAATGTCAACAGCAGGTTCGTCAGTGGGACAGAGTCAATCAGCCGCTGAATCCTCTGTATGGAGGTGCTCTGAGCCATAATGCTCAGGACTGCAGGCGGACCATCTGCCTCCCAACCCTGAAGGTAATGACATCAAAAGAGAATTAATGCTACAACTCAGCAGGAAATAACAACCTGATCTGATGGCTCAAGCTGGCTTTCCCAGAAATGGAGCCAGCAATCAATGTGCTGACTCCCTGAGTACAATCCCTTACCTTGTGCAGAGCCTCCACTTGCAGGTCTTGAAAGAGAGATGTTAACAGCTTGACAGCATGGTTTGCCAGTATTACTGAGAGCACCCCAAATCCCTGATGCCTACACAAAGGAAAAGGAAAACATAAACCTTAAGATAACTCACAAGAAATTACAATCTCGGAAACCATGGATCTTGCCATTTTAGGGTCCTAGACCCTTTTCAGAATCTATGAACCTTTCCAGGGGGTGGGGGGTGGCGATCACAAAAACACACAAAATCTGCATATAATTTCAGAAGCTCACAATCTCCCTGAAGCCCATCTACAGAATGCTTAAGGATTCACAGGCTTCAGGTTAAGAACTCCAGGACTAGAAGGAACTCTTCTAAATCCATGGAATTTGGAATTTAAACTGTCAATTCAAAGCTATTGGTTATGTGAAGAAACCAACAGATGCTTATTGAACTTTTTAAAAGTCGTTCTTTTTTAAAAATCCCTAGTCTATCCATTACACTGTATAG